TTAACCACGCTGCTTTTTACATCTACTTAACATTCTCTAAGGAGGTAATTGTAATTGATAAACTGCTACAAAGACAAATGTTAGTAGTTTGATACGATAACATTCGCTAATACCTTCTTCACCTATTACAGTAAAAAATAAAACACAAATTAGTTTAATTGTAATTTCGTAATTGGTATTTATTCTAATCAACAGCTATATGTAGGACTATAGTGCTTTATAAGCTACATCCATATTTTTCCAGTATATTTTTTCTTTATTTTGGAAAGGAACAGAAGCCTTAGTGATACTCGTCCTTTGAGAGTCGTCACTAGGTAATAAACAGGGCAAATTTAGCTGACAAAAAGAAATTCGTAGATATCAACCAAACTATTATTAATTAAATTCTTAAAATTTCTTTAGTTTTGGTTACAAAATTGTGAAAGTGTGTATTGCAATTAAATGACTTTGTAAAATAGATATTTATCCTAAAAATTATGCATTCAAAATAAATGATAAAACGTTCAGAACTAAATTTAGATTCGAGGAAGAAATCAAGGTATCGGACGATTGATATCTCACAAACTGAATGCGACCACGATCGTGGGATACGAGATTAAATTCGGCATTTGCCAATCTGCGATAGGACACGTCCGGTGGTCGAATTTGTTAGTAAATTAAATTCCTCCATCCTACTGTGTAGTAAAAATAGTTGTTAATTTCATCGATATAAAAAATCACATAAAATTAATAGAAAATAGGATTGAACCTAAAAAATTTGGCACAAAATCGACATGGAATAGTTATACCTTTATTGAAATTATTTCTTCCATTCTGAAGCTAAAGTGCTTTAGACTATCAGCTTAAGGGCTTGAGGTTTTTCATTTTTTTTTCTCAATGTTATAACAAATAAAAAGGATAATAAATGTATATTTAATGAGGTAGTGTCTACATTGTAGCTTACTACTGACGCGGATAAGTTCCTATACGACGTTTTTAGGCGAATTATATGTAATTAAATTGCAAAATGAGAAACATTTAATTAAAACTACTTGTGTTTGTCTATATGTAATTCCTGAATGTCACACTAATTTACATCTACATACCGATATAGTGAAAAGAATCGATAAATCTTACAACTAAATGGGAGCTCTGTTTAACATTTTTCATTTTGAAATCCCGTTCCCGAAATATTAAGCTTGGAAATCAATTGCAATATGTTCTCCCAAATGCCATTTCCAAACAGGACTATCTAAAATAGTCAGGATAGTGGCTTTATGTCGGTAAACTTGCATTGATAAATTAAAAAGATAAAGGCACCCAAATAATTGGTTTTGGAGTAGGTAATTAGGCCGCACCTTTGATGAATGTTTTTAAAATTTGTGTTTCAATTTTTCAAATTGAATAAATAGGATTTCAATGTGTCACTTGAAGTAAATATAAAAGTCAAAATAACGTATTTTTTCTGGAAGAACGAGCATATTATAGTACATGACGAAAAACTAGATGTAGTCACCAGAAGTCAAATAACTAAGGATAGAAACTTTTGTGCTCGCCATCCGTTAATCTAGAATTTTAAAAAAGATTATTTTGGAGCACGGTTGTGCATGGGTTATGAAGGGTCATGAAGCGTTATAGCAAGGATAGAAGTGATTAGATGTGAGAAGGTATTAGAAAGAATCGGAAAAAGATGCTTATTATGGAAGTCAATAAGAATTAAACGAGAAAAGTAGGTAAGACAACTTTTCCGGCATGAAAAGCTATTTAGAGACATATTAGAAGCAGAAACAGGAGTTAATAGGGGTAGAGGTAGAGTACTGTTCGCAAAAAACTGGAGTTGTAACTTGCTTTAGTCTTTAAGAAATGCGAAGTCGAAATTTTGATATTTAAAGGCCGCTCAAGATTTTTTAAATTTCCAAGTAAGTAGAGTACCTACTTCTCGAGTGACCTTTTTATTTTTTTCTTGAAAGTAGAAATGGGAGACTGTGGTAATTGACTAACTAAAAAACGGGAGAGACTCACCCCAAATTACCACTACAATTATGATCCACTACGGACACAGGTTTCGTCCACCTCGATCTTCATGTGGACATCATCAGTCTCGTGTTGAGCCTCTTTTTTTTTATGTTCTTTGGAAGGGGCTCTTAAAACATGATAAACTAACATATTTTAATAGGAAACTCGAAAAAAAATTTTTTTTGGGCCACCCTGATTTACGTATACCTCCACGGTGGTTAAAATAATGAGATCTTTTGGGAAACACCAAAAATCAACAGTGACACTTTTGCATAAGGAGATTCATTATTTAGCTTTCCTGTTTAGTCACAGGCAATTCCAAATGCACGTCAGGGTACTGAAGTAAATGCAATTACAAACTTTCCTGGATCAGTGCGGAATCTCCTACTCGACACCATATCACATATCAGTCAGCAACAGTAGCAACAGTAAAAGACAATTACTTTTGTAGTAACATTATTAAGAGATTGTGTGTGAATCAAATGTGCAACGACATACGACACGTATTTTACCAATAGGATTTGTCAGATAGACGTATACCTCGTAATGCACGTGAATCGTAAAACGCATTAAATAAACGAAAAAAAAAATTTCTCTAGAAAGTTTTGGTCTGTACAGTATAAGACTGTAATTGAACCAAACAATAACAAAAATATTGAACTGTGTTTCGATGTCTATAAAACATATTTCGAACATTAAATAAGGAAAGTTAACCAGAACGTTATCTGAAAGCCATTGGTATCAATAATGTAAATTCTGAGTGATGATCAGATAAGTAAATATCATACTTACCCTTAATACCGACAAGTCCGTTCACGTTATGAATAAATTATGAAAATTTTACAATAATAGTAGGTAATTAAGTAAACTCAATAAACATTTTTCATCACAAGTTTAGAATTTCTGAAATAAATTTGCAGGAGGTGATAGGGTAGTATAAAACAAGAAAATTTAGTAAATGTTTAGTGATCTGAAAATCTACCGTTTTCGAGGGAAATGTATTTGAATATATAGTCCGGGCCTGGTAGGATCACGCAGGAAATACGACATCGCAATGCCGCACTTAATCAGCTGCAGCATTCGTGTTGTACGAGTGTTTCTTTTGTAATTTGTGTTAGTACCATGTAGAGGTATACTATAAATAGTACTACATACTATTAACGATGAATAAAATAAGTAATTATTTAATTAATTATTATTGCAGTAGGCGTCTAAAGATTATTATGTGTGGTAGCGTACTAATAAATACTTTACTAGTCGTTCCACAACCACTACTCTTTACATTTTTTATTGATATTGGGATCCGTCAAATGGGAGGAGCCTAAAAACATGGCGCCGATTAGGGAAAATTTATCGTAGTTCCTATAGTGTACCGTGCAATTTCCAAGTTTTTAAATTACGATAAAATGATAAGTATTGACAAAATATGTGATTGGGCTGACACAAAGCCTCGGAAAGGAAATTTCGTTGAAGGTGAGCGTGTTTTTAATGCCAATCACATTATAAAATTCGGAAATAACAAATCCGGAAGCTAGCCTTCAAATTCTATCAAATTTACTGCCTACTTTTTATAAACTTCGTATTTAAAAAGTGATTAACATTATATAATTGGTGAGGTGATTCTGGGTGATTTAAGCAATATCATATCAATGACTTGCACGTGCAAAGCCGATTTAAGAGAACGTTGCAAACACATTATTGCAACTTTGTTGTACTGCAGCAGGTAGGTTCTTAACCTCGAAATACTTATATCGTATCATTAGAATTGTGTTAAATCAATTACACAGGAATAAATAATTTTTCACTTTATAATTTTAGTATGATTCTAGTTTTAAATATTAAGGTTATGGCTGATGGTAAATACTTGCTGAAATATAATCATGTGTATTAAAATGACGTGAACAAATTTTTTTTCCGGAATTCACTTCTTGGATACCTACTGCTTTCATCCAAGCTTCTATTAGTTTACTTTTTTCTCTAATTTTCCGAATATATTTTTTACATATATAAAACGATTAGTTTTTATTGGAAAATAGTTAATGTAGATGAAGAGTGAAGATCTATGTCTGAAGTGCAGCTTTTTACTGAACATATTAACTTTTTATTTGATTTAACTTTAGAAGAAAACTTCGTCGACTCCATCATCAAAAAAATTTTTACTTTTTTAACGTGTTTTATTATTTTAATAAACAATTTTACAATTTGCATGCACAGTTCCTATGTAAATTTTTCCCTCTTTCGAATTATAAATTTTGCCACCAGATGGTATATGCCCATTTAACGGATCCCAATAGTTGTCTTATTGTTATCACAATTTTTCTATACGTTGCCAAATCACACCCAGGACCGGCTAAGGATTGCAACTTTGCCCCGTTTTCTTACAATTTTTTTTTGTCTTTTAACCACGCTGCATTACTCACCATGTGATTCCTTTTTACATCTAGGTAACATTTTTTCAGGAGGTAATTGTAATTGATAAACTGCAACAAGGACAAATATTTGTAGGTTGATCCGATAGCATTCGGTAATACGTCGATGTTGCATTTCACAGCATAACCCTGTGAAATTCTTCACTTATGATAACAAAACATAAAACACAAATTATTTTATTTGTAATTTCGTAATTGTTAGTTATTTATTCTATTCAACAGGGTACAGTAAGACCATGCAGCTATATGTAAGGCTATACTCCTTTATAAGCTACATTCATATTTTTCCAATATAATTTTTCTTTATTTTGGGAAAGAACATAAGCATTAGTAATACTTGACCTTTGAGATTCGTCAGTAGGTAGTAAGTAGGGTGAATTAGCTGACAAAAAGAAATTTGTAAATATCAACCAATCTATTATTTATTAACTGTAATATTCTTTTATTAACTTCGAAACTGGAAATTGTATTAGCGACAAGTATTGCAATTAGAACATGAAATGGATAACAAACACGCAAGCGCCCCCGGTCGAGGCGACGTTCAGCGTCGCGGCGCCACTCGCTTTCCGGCGCCGATACCGAACTTACCATGTTTTTAACTTCTCCGAATTCCAGCCGCGAAATAACGTCGCGTTATCTCGATTTTTACTCTAGAAGAATCGAACAAGTTATTCAAGCGGTCTAAATTTTAATTAAGCTTTACGTTAGACAAAGATGTCAAAATCTGATTTTTAGTTTTTTAACATATATAAAAATACAATAAGAAATTTAATAATCCATACTAGTAATTGTAATAGCTGTTATCCGTAGTAATTGTTTAAACTATAAGGTAAAAAGTGAAGGTGCGTGAATTACTGTTACGTTTCGAATACACAATATTTAATAACAAAATAAGAAAATTAAATTGATTGTTAGAACTTCTTGTCTTGGTGTTTTTGACATAACAATAATAGAGAAGTGATAATAGCGATAGCGGTGTCTAACGAAGCAAACGAGATAATCCGAGGAAATGGTGTAATTGTACCGCGAAACTCCACTATCTCCGAGGAATTGTAATAAAAAGTTTAAATGTGTCAGTGGTAATGGGTTTTGTCTAGTCCAGACACCATGGAGTCCACGAAAGCTGCTCTCTACGTTTTGCTCCTTGTCGCGCTTTCGTTGTCAGTGCTCCAAGGTGAGAAGAGACATACTTGTTTAGGCTAATCTATTGTTGTATTACCTCATAATCAATCATACCGAGTGCCTTTATCGTTTTTATTCATGAAGCAATCTATTATGCGTATTATCCGGAGATTTTCCAGCAGCTACTTTATATTCAGTATAATATCTTCGATTTATCTTCTGTATTCGAATTTTGGGGCGTCTCTAATTCAAACTTAAGAAGAATTCCTTGTATATTAAATAAATATAAAATATACGCAAACATTTTAAATAATTATATATTAATGACGTTCTGTTGCTGTATGTATTGGTATTAAGGGATTCAAAAGTAGGGTTAGAGCCAATATAAAAGTAGAGGAGGAAAAATTAGAAGTAGCCGCCTATTGAGAATGTTTAGAGAGTATAAACAATTGGGATGTAAAAATCACTAGATATAAACAATGAATAGCCTGGGGTAGAATCACTTTTAGTATTTGTTTTGTGCTCACAATCGGGTAACATAGAAATTAGAAAAAAATTATTTCAAGTGAATGTATGGAACACAGAACTGTGTGCGGATGTGGAACATAGACGATAGGCACTGTGATAAAGGAATATCGTGGATAGAAAAGGTTTGAAACGAGAGTTATTACAAAGGGTAAGAGAACAGAGGGCGCTGTGGAAGTAAATAAGAAGTAGGTAAGATAGGTCACCTTTTCAGATGTGAAGGGCTAGCTAGAAACATATTAGATACAAAAACAGGAGTTATGAGGGGAAAAGGTAGATTAGCTCAAGATAGGAATAGAGGTGCGTGCCCAAGCACAATCTAAAAGATGAAGCATCCTGAAAGTAGCCATTAGGTATTTTATGCTGACAGAAGTAGATTTAACTCTTTATGAGAAGAAAACATAAAATATGACCAGAAAACTAAAATAAATTTAAGATATAAAAAGAAATGAGAACCCAAAGCCTTCATAAAACGTAAACAAAGGCAGAATTATAATAGGCAACAACCTGGGCTATTTAATATTTCTTGAGGGTTTAAAGAAAAATTAAATAATTAATGAAGACATCAAAGAGATGCTTTCTGCAAGGAATCTAAAATGTAAACTAAATGAACGTTTAAATAATTTTTAGAGAACATTTTAAATCTACCTTTAAAATCTGAATTTTCATCTAGAAACTCTTATACCCAACAACAGGTTCGAAATATTTCTTATTACAGTAATCGTGAATACCTTTCTCTGGGTACAAATAAAGCATATTTATGTGTGCATGCCTCACGTATATTTTTGATAGTATTTCAAAATAGTTGGAAATATTTTTATGCACTGTCAATGTTTCTTCATGATATTTTTAACCAAAAAATTAAATTCTGCTTGTTAAGTCAAGGCAGGAATAAAGGAAACGATATTTCACAAAATTTCCAAGAATATGTGTTATTTATATTCGTTTTTTCGTTTTAGACTGTTTTAACCTTCATATATCCCTAGGAATAAATAGCATTAGATATTGAATGTTATACATATTTTTTCCTATTGTTATCTCACTGGAATAAATCAAATGAACACTCATTTTTGTCGTGAAAAAGTGATAACATATAGCGTTGTAGTGTCATGTTAAGTATGTTTATCGAACCAGTTTATCTAGACACCCTGCTACTGTAATTCTTTTGGCACCAGCTGGATCTTCGATATACCATGAAAGTAGGGCAAACTGTTGGAATTCCTTATTTATCGCTAGGAACTACCGCCGCGCCAAAAGCAAAGATACCTTCTACTCATTACAATTGAAGAGCAAAAAACACTTTTCTACACAATAAATTGATCTATAGAATGGGTCCTTTTTCCAAATATGATGTCAAATTATACTCCTTGACGGTATATACGTATGCAATTCAACTGTTACGCAAAATGCCCTTTGGAAGTTCTGTTGACAACATTTGCACATTTCAGGCTTTTAATATTGTTCGACTTTTTGAAATTTGTATAAAAAAAACGATTTAAACAGGTGACGATCTCCTCACTTTTACATGAACTGAAAAAATCACATGCATATAAAAAAATTATGTCAGGTATGTTTTGGCAGCATTCATAAATTTTTGGTGGGGGTAACTCGTTGTCCATCCAACCATCCCTTCAATTATGGAAAGAGGTGAAAATCGCTCTGTGAAAGGTCTGGACAATACGGTGGATGGTCTCACTTGAAATGTTTGAAAAGGACTGTCCTCATGTTAACACAAGATGGACGTAGATGAAGGGACTTTAGAATGCTATCAAGAGGTATCCAACCTCACTTCTACGAGAGCGCATCGGAATGTTGCTGTCATCATATGACAAAAGCCTCATTCTCTGTTCAATATTTAATAAAATAATTTCGTTATGAGGTACATGTGTCTCTTTTTTCTAACCCAAAGGAGGTTGTTATGTTAGTATATTCACTTGTTGAATTTGAAATGAAATGTCACTGCTTTACCCGAAACCCATATACCTATTAGGAAGTCTCGACTCTCTCTCCATGCACTTTGTTGAAATTTACCTATATTGGAAATAATAGATGAAGGAGGTAGCCTATCTGATTATCTAAAAACAATTAGTGTTAAAGACGTTGTGTGACAAATAACTGATGCCTGAAACGATGTAAAAGACTCTGAAATACTAAAATCGTGGAAGTAACTGACCCAGAATTAACAGCAATGGACGACGATGGCGGTAATTCGTACGAGATCTACGAGAGCTTAATCAAGACCTTACTCGAGAAGATGTTGATGCTTGGGAACAGATCGAAAAGGAAAAAGTCTAAGAACTGCCAAACGTTGATCTGATTAAACTAATAAGAGACACTGGAAACGAAAAAGATTACAGAGTCGGTAGTAAGTCTTGAGTTAGGCTCTACCCTATAGTGAATAACAACAAAAGCCATTGCAATAGGTGTTCTTCTGTAGTTATTTTTGACAAGTTGATGAAAACTCCGTTTTAGTCGAAATTTCGATTATACGAAACAGGTTAGGGTTCAAATAATCGGGAGTCTACTGTATTTCGCTTTTATGTTACTAATTGTAAAAGGGTTCCTGGTTCCTACATTGGATTAACATCGTACTAGTGAGTGCTTTTGAAGAAGTTAAATCCACAATTACTAAAATGGGCTACTTCCAATTTGCGTATTTGCTATAGTTACAATAAAAGCAAGATAAATATTTTTCATCCCGCTGTTACACAGTTGTAAAAATAGAGAAAGGACGTTTCCATTTTTTGAATTATGAATTTTCCAGTTTACACGTTTTATGTTATTTTACTGTTCCAACTAGAAATGGGCAGTTAAAACGTCCAGTGGTGAATTTGGTAAAAATAAATAGCCCTTTTCGTACTTTACGCGCAAAGTTTGTGAACATTCAAAGGCGAATCGGTTTCATTAATTGACCGTTTGTATTAAAAGCAAAACTAGGGCTTTCGCCTATATAGCGAAAGGTTGAGTTAATAAAAAGGAAATTAAGGTCGGCAAGCCACATGTGGTTGTGGCGTTCCCGTAAAAACGAAAATTATTGGTATTTATTTATCTTTGATGATTCTCGGTTAGATTAACGTATTGGTCACAACAAAGGGAGATTTATGGTAATTAACCTAAATCAAAATCCATAAATTACGGCAAAATTAATTCCATAATTTTAATCAAATAACGGAAAAATGCAATTACATTCAAAATATAAAAAAGTTAGAATGCCCTCATGTGTAGATTGCAACGTAAAGAAATAAATATTGGAAAGGGAGTCAGATAGGGATGCACACGGTCACCGCTACTTTTTAAACTATACACTGAAGAGCGGCGCTATACGGGTGCGAAACATGGACGGTGGGCGCGGCGAAAAAAAAAAAGGTTAGAAGCGTTCGAAATGTGGTGCTACAGGCGAGTGATGAGGATACCGTGGATAGAGAACGTAAGAAATTAAGAGGTATTAGAAAGAGTAAAAGAACAGAGGACTCTATGGCAGTCAATAAGAAATAGGCTTAGAGTTAGGTTAGAAAACACCTTTTCAGGCCTGAAGCTCTAGTTAGAGACAGAAACGGAAGTTACAAGGGGTAGAGGTAGGCCGGCCTGTTCGCAAATAGTTAAAGTTGTGGGTTGTTCTAGTTTTAGGGAAATGCGAAGATTAGCTCGGGTTAGGAACGAGTGCAGATGCGTGTCCAACCAGTTTTAGAACTGACGACCTAATGATGATCATCTATAGATCATGTATAGGCGCGGTAGAAAATATATTTAAATTTGCATGTTTAATTGGTAACTAAATAGTTATATCTATAATGCTTAATGATTGTTTTAGACTATAAATTAGCAATAAGCTAACAAATTGTTGCTATTTCATGTTATTATTTATCCGTTTATTTATACATAAATCTAACATGGAAGGATTACATTCAATGTACTGAAAAGTTGACTTCTACTAAACATTGTAAATAATTTTCAATGTAGATATCTAACTACTTAAAATGATTAGTTTACAGTAGTTTTCAGTTTTCCTTTAAAACATTACTTAGCGTTTATTGAGTGCACTGAACTAGTATTATTGAAACTCTGTATCAAGTTTTCCAATAAATCTTTATGTTTCCGTTTACTACTTCGTAACGTCAAAGTAATTTCAAATGGTTTAGTATTACAAAGAAAATTTGTAATGGGAAAGTTTTCTAAACTTTAGATAGAATGTTTCTTATTCCACAATGTATGGTATACTATCTCATAATAAAAAATGACCCAATGGTTCGGTTTTTAGAAGTTTCCGCTGTACCTGGTGGGTTGGTTTCATTTTGTTTGTTCCTATCAATTTTTTATGTTGCGGAAATTTTTTGTTTCTGTTTGTTGCAGAAGGTCGAATTTGATAAAAATTGAGATATATATATAGGGAAAGTAAAGCCAATTAAGAAATTCCTATAAAAATATCTTCCCGGAATGAGGGTGAAGACATTCTTCGTTGTAGAAATTAACTCTTTAAATTTTAAAAAGAAACCTACTGGTATTTATTCAATCAACTGGGTGATTTTT